CCTCGAAGGTATCCGATGCTACATTGATCTTTGTACTATAGGATAAATTAACTTTTTTGTGATGTATAGCGTAAGTGTCTATTGGTTTCTATTTCCGAAATAAGAGATAACACAAGTGAAGATGGTATGACTCATTACAATGTCATCTTCAACACTAAACAGACAGATTATTTTTTACAATAAAATTACAAAAAAAATTTAATTCCTTCGATCAGACCAGCCGCAAATTTCTGTTTGCAGAAGTAAACACCATCAAAAGCATCTAATTTGTCCGTTGGAAGATCGTTGTTATTCACCATCACATGCTTAATCGCACCACACGAAGCATTCATACCGTTGTTCAAGTCACAGCATATAATACAACGATTCAATGGAATGGATAAACAACTTAACAACCAACGAATTACTAATCTTTTCGTAACATCGGCCGGAACTGGAAACAACTTCAAATTGCTATCATAATCTGAATAATCGTCGTAGGTAATGCATTTTGAACTATTCTTATCGGTGCATTGAGTAAATTGACTTTGATTAGTAATGTCAAAGAAATGCGTCGAGTTCTGTTTGATGAGGCTTTTCCATTTCTTCATCATCATATATTTCTTTTCCGAAGAATTGTACGAAAAAATTTCATCGCCAGAATAACAAATAAACACGTTCGGACACGGCAATGCTGATTCTTTGACGATCTGCAAACTTTCTTCTAGACCCATGTCAGTAGAATATACCAAACAAAGATTCACGGTATACTGTTCAATGAATGTTTTGAATGAACACAACGATATTGGATCCCTCGTCGCCAAATTACCATCGAATTCAATAATGATCACCATCGCATCATTTGACAACATCTTGGGTAACACATATCGTTCGACAGGCGGTTGATCAGATGTACAAATCGATTCGATATTCTTCACCCAACGGTACCATGAGTAATAATTAAGGACATTATGAAGTCCATTATTAGAAAATAAATTCCACACTTCTATATTATCGTCATGGAGAATCGACGAAATTTTCTCGATCATATCATTTTCGTTGTGAACGTTGACTAAATAACCAATGTTAACGTTGTGAATAATATCTGTTGTACCACCGTTGTTCGTAAGAACGACAGGTAAGCCGTACGAAGCAGCTTCGAGTGTGGTTAAACCGAATGGTTCGATCAATGATGGATTAAAGTAGATTCCTCCAGCTTCTCTCGCCGATATGAACAATTGAAAAATTTCTTCTTGAGAATCAAATTGATAGAAACGAACGAAGTCAGGATACATCGCACATCGTTCTTCAATCGCTGCACGGATACTTCTGGATTCGTCTGTTACTTTGCCGTTGGTTGTGGCAAGGATGATTTCCGTGTTCGCACGTAACCATTCCGACTGCGCTAAGACATCGATGGGGGCGACTAAATTTTTTGTGTGAGACAGTCGTGCGACCAGAATAATCGGTTTGCGTTTGGCTTGAATTGACGAACGAACGAAGATCGACGGAACTTCAATGCCTGGTGCTACGACGTTGATTTTGTTCGAAGAGAAATTTTTGTACATCGTACACTGATTGAATTTCTCGTGTTCGCTGCTGACAACGACGCTAGTTGCATAACGAAATAATTGTTCTTCGTAATAGATGCGCGTTGAGAAATGGTATTGTTTTTCGAGTTCATCACCATTTGAATCGATATTCCGCAATAAATTTCTCAATTTCGTTCTTCCCAAAGAATGTGGAATGAAAATAAATGGAATCTTCAACATTCGATTGAGCAACAAAGCAACAGCACCAGCATCGGCGTAGTTTCCGATGATAAGATCAGGATACTTGTTATTTTCGATGAAGTAATTCACACATGAATCCGTAAATTCCCAAACATATGGCCATAAATCTTCTTTTCTTCGATATTTATTCGATTGCATCTCCAGCCGAACTAACTTCACATTGTTTCGCTCCTGTGTTTTGATACTGTACTGATTGTTTTCGTCTAGTAAACGAGTGACAATTGTTACTTGATGATTTTGTCGAGCCAATTCTTCACAAGCTTGTAAAACGTAGATGATCTGCCCGCCTGTATCATTGTCCAAACCTGGTTCTGGTTTGTACAGATCGATTTTGCCATGGAATTGAATGGCGACGATGTACATCTAAACGAATATACATTGTCTTTGTTGCATGAAATATGGAAAAGAGGGTGTGGCTCGGAGGGTGTGTGATGAGTTACGGCACAGTTATGTGTGAGAATCATCACTGAAACTGATTTCTTCTCTTGAATGCGATTATTCTGATGAAATCCACTTACTTGTTTAATCAAAATTGTTGTATATCACTGAAAATATTTGATGTATTCTGTTCAAAACAATGAACAATCTCTATATTTTTATATTCTTCGCTTCGACACGCTTTGCTTCTCTCTCTCTCTGTAGAGAAATTATCACCTCGATTGTTCGCTATGCCGTCGTTAGACCGTACGGGCAATGGCCAAATGGACTAATTTCGAAGAGGAAAATTGGCGGAAGAAGTTGACGAAAGAAAATTGTTTAATAGAAAGAGTGATTGATTTCATTGCATTGAACAGCATATTCTTCATTTCACTAAGCTGGATGGTTTACTGCCACAAGCCTTCTACACAGGCTACACGAAAATAAGTGAAAAAAAAAAGATGAAGATCTTTCAATTATGCAGCACTATTAGATGAAAATAATATCATAGTTTTTAAGCGAGATTTAAAAAAAAATTCTACTCTCCTATCATCGTATCTCGAAATGTCGAAGCAGTCTCGTCCCTATGCCTGGCATGTACTATCGAAAACATCGCTTACGTCCGACCTTATCTTTACCATACGTATTTAGAAAGTTTCTACTCAAATCATTGAAAATATGTGTTTGTTTAGAAGGCTTGGACGTTGATCTTTTTGTAAATAGACGAAAGATATCAAATGTGAAGTAAGTAAACATTTCATCGACGATTTTGTAAACCTATAGATCTTGATCTATCATTTCTTTTTCAGAATGTTATCAAGTACGTCCTTGTATCGTCATTTATGATTTGATCTACTCTAGACATTTTTGCTGGCTCTAAATCAAATCGAACGATTCTGTCTGTATGATACAAAATATCCCGAAATGGAAAGGTAAGATATTCGTATTTTAGAAACGAAAATTGTATCTTTCAGCTATGATCTCTTGTACAACTGAAGTTCACTGGTGGTCGAAATAATCGAACTCAAACATCTTTCATCTGATCCTATAGTCAAGGGTTTATTTGCAAATTGGAATGGGTTTTAACAGATAGTCATGCCTGGAAATGAGGCCAAGGTTTTTGTTCTATATATCGAATTTAAAAGCTGGCATTTTTTATTTCATTTATCTGTAGAAATACTTTCCAACTGATACAATCAACGTCATATCATCAAGCATCTTGCTGATTGAACACTCAACTGATTATTATCTCTTCAATGAAGGATGCAACTCTATAACCGGAATTTGTGGAAAAAATGGTTTATTGAACAAAATCAGCAATTTTGAATGAAACTAATCGAAACATCAATTGAAGTCTATGAAAATGTCTTCTTAAAAGTATTAAATACTAAAAAGTTAGAAAAGCGTGTAATTTTTAACAGATTCTTTTAGTCTCTTTCAACGACACTTTCCATTAGTTGACTCAATACATTTTTTATTACACCATATTTGCGATTTGGTGCAAACTAAGCCCCAGATACACTTTTCCGTTGCTGGATTGAAACATGTCTTTCCGCACCAACCTTCTTCTTTTCGACATACAAAACCAGAGTTACATTTATGCGTGTCAGGTAAATAACATTTCGAACCACATTGCTTTTCATTTGGTAAACATTTGATCGGTTCAGTTGTTGTTTGACCAAATGCTGCATAAATAAGAAGAGTCAACTGCACTCCGAAGAATAAGAACGAATATTTCATCTCTAGCGAAAGAAAAATGAAACTAATCGATTATTCATCGGCGTTTATATCGCTCGTTATTCGATCAATGAATCTAATCAAGAGTGAAAGAAAGGTAAAACTATATATATGCATGAGAAATCATTGGTGAACATGATTAGTACACCGTTCATTTCATAACGCTTTGCAAAAGTCAAAGGTAAGGTTAAATCTTCATCAGATGTACGAAGAAAGGATCGATTTTATTCAAAAGTTAACAGATCGTGGAGTTTAGAGAGAAGAAGGAAGAAACGAATAATGACTTTGAACAACTTGTCTTCGTATTCCATTTGGCAGAAAAATACTTCTTCTCATTATTCTTGATAATACCAGAAAATCTTTATTTAATTTTGTCCAGTATTTGCTCCCATTTTGCGTGCAGTGTCTCTTTCAAATTCTGATTATAAATTTTCATTTTCGCACTGATTTCATCGAGATTTGTGTTAATTAACTTTTCGGCTAAATCATTAGTCGATTCGTAATACGTTATATGTGGCCACTGATAGAAATCCGAAAAGTTCAACCAGTAGCGAATCGCATTTATATCCAATTCGTTATTCGGATCAGGAATATCAGGTGACAAAACACCGGGAATGAGCGAAGCATTTTTATACTTCTCAGATATTCCATCCCAAGTTCGTTCAGCAAGAAGACGATATTTGAAATGCCATTGCGTGAGAAGGTCGAGCGAGGGAAAAAACAATGGAATATTCATTCGATATTGTTCAAATAAACTCATAACAGAGACTTGGTATGGAACATAGATAATTCCTGGATGTTGAGCAATATGACGATAGGAATAATGACCTTTGTAATGTTCACGGAGATGAGCAACTGTGATCGAAGTTTTCAAACGTTGCAATGCATTTGTTAGGTTCATTTTGAATAGAACAGCGAAGCTTTTCTTCTCGATTCGAGTAATGATAAATGGATTTTTGTTCAATCGTGAATACGATGCGTGAGTGTAACTACATAACGATGGTAAAACAATCGTCGGAATGCCGGTAAAGTATCGAATGTATTCAGCGTCGTACAAATTATTCCCAGCAATGACATTCCTAAACAGAAAATGATGAACAATTGACATCTTGTTTACACATTGAAAGTACTTTGGATTCGAAGCGATCTTTTGTAAATTTTGATTCAAAATTTGCCATTCTTCTTTTCCATGTCTTCCGAATTCGTACCGTGTCGATGAGACAATGATAATTGTTCGATTGAACGGCATGAATAACTCGCACATGGCAACAGAATGAAAACACATGAATATTTTCACTTGATTCATTTCGACATCATTTTTATAAGCTTCGTAAAACTGTTGTCGAATAGCAGGATTCGGCGCAATGCCATTGTCTGGAGTTAACACTTTCAGATCTTTTGCACAAGAATCAGTTTGACTACAAGCACCTGATAAACTTTTATCGATGAAATAAACATCGAATGCCTTAAATTGATCCTTAATATCGTGAACTGGACTAAATTGAAAAAGAGTTCATTAAAATTCGAAGTAAATCTTCAATACCTTATGTGATAATCGCTGACCCAAATAACTGTTTTGTTCTGAGGTATGATCGGACGTTGTCTCATTTGATTGTAAACTTTCATGGCATATAAACCCAACAGAATATTTCCGAGAATAAAAAGAATAAACACGATTCTCCTAATCGTACTACAATTTTGTTTCCAAAATGTTTTTTGTTTCATGTTATAACTAGCGAAATCTTCATGATATAAAGACAAAATTCTATAAGAAATTCTCAATGTAAAAACTTACTCGCTCGGTATGTTCATTCACGACATGAAAAATGAATTACATTTGTGAAGGCGTCGTCACGCTTCTTCATCATCAAATATGTTGAATCGCGTATTTTGATGTCTACTGTACATATAACCATGTGTAAAATTGATGAGTAAATGCGTTCTTTTTCTTTCGTAGCTTGTTTGATATATTGAAAAATATCTTTCGTTCTTTTCATAGACAATATCTTTGTTACACAGTTAAAAACGAGAGTCACCTATATACAGACGACACTGATGAAGGAAGACGTGTTTCTAAGGAAAAACGGATCTTTCACGTGTTTAAAAACACATACGTGAACATATAAAAGCTTTTCTTTGCATGCAAACAAATGCGACCCGAAGGTATCGTTTTTAAGCGTTGAACGGTTGTTTATTCAATACATTAAACATGATTTTTTTTAGAGGAAAAGCAAACAAAAAATAATATTTGTGCAAATCATTTCTTTTTATAGATTTTATTTCTATGAGAAAGAGAATCGACAGTATTAATAGTAGTCTTTTTTTTATACTAAACAGTAAAAATGATAGAAGACCGATTCGCAATCAGTACCATTGATTATTTCTCACTTGTAAACCAGTTCTTCCTATCGTAAGAGGCACTTCAGGTGCGATAATTCGTCGTGCTCTTTGTCTTTGCTTTATAGTTTGAACCAATTCAGGTAGGGCCAATACGCACATGAACGGTTGTAATGGACAAATGAATACATAAATATAGTATAAATAGTAAAGATCGGGAATATTTTCCAGCAATTGTTTATTGGCGTTATTCTTTACTATAGTCATAACTACTGCTGGTAGCCAAAGAAGAAAATATAATAAAGAATAAACAAGTAGAGTAATTGTCAGTCTTTTCTGCTTTTTCCAAGTATTTCTTTGTTGTTGACGAACTTTTTTCATCGAACGCATTACACGCATGACCAATATAAAATTCGCGAAGCCATTCATCAGTACCGGAAGCACAATATTAAAGATCCAGTCCAAAGTATACGCAAGAATAACATCCAAGTAGCATGGATACAAGCAATACTGACTTGCGTCATCATATGATATTTCACAGGGGTACAAATATATGACTACAAGGTAGAAGCATGACGGATAAACCACTCCGAATATCAATGGAATGTAATGTAGAATCCATCGTAATCGATGAAAACGTAACCAATGCGAATGGAAAACGAGAATGTGTCGTTGAATACTTGAGATCATGGCGAGATACAAGTTTACAGCCAGAACTGTATGATCGAACCAAAACCAACAGAGACAAAATGTTGGGTTTCGAGGTGTATCAGAGCCTGTGCGATAGGTATTCATAGTGAAAGGAAGATCAAGTGTATTGTACAGGAAAGAAGTGATGCTGAGAAGAAAGATGGGATGATTATGCAAAGAATTGATGATTGATGTTCGCCAATGAGAGAAGAAATAAACGAAAATGAGAAGACTGCAGAGAATTGAGGGAATGAGAGCAGCTAAAAGAATACTAAAGAGAATCGGATAAGTAGTTATGCTAATCTCTTCAACGAATGTATTATTTCCAGTATACATTTCTCTTAGTGAAAACGAAGTCTAATATGAGTAGATTCTAAAATATCAACATACACCTTGTGCAACATTATCACAGCAAGTTTCTTTTTCCTTTCATCGTCATACTGAAGAATACTCAGATTAATTAAAAATTGACAGAGTTCAGCTTCATGTTCATTCATGAGAAATTAATATGAGAGGTGAACAGAAATTCACTTGCTTGGTAAGTCAACTCCATAATTGTTCTTCAATATTCAGAACAAACCAAGTTATTGAGAAGTTCGTTGGATAAGACGTTTCACACAATCTAAGCCCGTCAACCGATTCGAAAGTTGACATACTTAGTCAAGTAGAAATAGTAGAAAACAACGTTAAGATTATATTATTCAAGATATTCCTATTGTATAGAAAGCTGAAAAAATCAGATTCAATTCAAGACTTCAGTTTTTGATAACGAACTATACTATAATAATAAAAAATCAGAAAATAGTTTTCGATTGCAGACGGTCCTTGCCACTGTAAAAGGTAGTGCGGGTGCAATTGCTCGACGGGCTCTGTGCCTTTGCTTGATACTCTGAATCAGTTCAGGTAAGGCAAGTAAACACATGAATGGTTGTAATGGACAAATGAATATGTAGAGACAGTACAAATAATACAGATTAGGAAGAATTTGCAATAAAGTTTCATTAGTATAACTTTGTATTATAGTCATAACTGTGGCTGGCAACCAAAGAAGAAAATATAATAATGAATAAACCAATAGATTAAACGTTAATCTTTTCTGCTTCTTCCAAGTGTCTACCTGTTGTCGACGTGTCTTTTTCATTAAGCGCATTACGCGTACAATTAGTGCAAAATTCACTAAACCATTCGTCAGTACCGGAATGACAATGTGAAGGAACCAATCCAAATTGTATATTAATGCATTGTCCAAATAACATGGATACAAGCAATACTGACTTGTCTCATCATATGATATTTCACAGGGGTACAAATATATGACTACAAGGTAGAAGCATGACGGATAAACCACTCCGAATATCAATGGAATGTAATGTAGAATCCATCGTAATCGATGAAAACGTAACCAATGCGAATGGAAAACGAGAATGTGTCGTTGAATACTTGAGATCATGGCGAGATACAAGTTTACAGCCAGAACTGTATGATCGAACCAAAACCAACAGAGACAAAATGTTGGGTTTCGAGGTGTATCAGAGCCTGTGCGATAGGTATTCATAGTGAAAGGAAGATCAAGTGTATTGTACAGGAAAGAAGTGATGCTGAGAAGAAAGATGGGATGATTATGCAAAGAATTGATGATTGATGTTCGCCAATGAGAGAAGAAATAAACGAAAATGAGAAGACTGCAAAGAATAGAAGGAATGAGAACAGCTAATAGAATAGAAAATAAGATTGGATAAGTTATTATATTGTTTTCTCCAACGATCGACTGATTTTCGCTATTCATTGTTTGTGTATACCGAAAGAAAACGACAATTCTAACAAACTAAGTCCATTTCTTAATTGATGTATGCTTGCTAGACGCAGATTCTTAATTAAATAATCAAATGAATGCACTACAACAGCAACAAACTTTCTGTTTCAAGAGTCTATACTTTATTTTCTTCTTTTAGAATTAATTAAGAAGATATTAAACATGAACGCGAGATTAATTTTTTGCTAGATAACACAATTATTCCAAGTTACGTTGCGAAGAATCCTTTATCTATCGAGAAAAAAAAACAAAATATTATAAATAGACTGATACTGATTCCCAAGGGTCAACGTGAAAATTCGGCATCAGATCGAATCAAAAAGTTGTTTTCCCAATAAACCTTTCGTCTATTCAACAAGTTTATGATTGCATGTACTTAAAAATATTCCGATTGAATTCTGCCCATAATTTGCGGAGATAAAATCGATTCGATTATCTCCATTAAAATCTCCACTAATGACATCTTTTGGTTCAGAATTTGCTCCCGTAGAGAAAGTTTTTTGCATCAAAAAATTTCCATTTCCATTCCCGAGCATTATTCCAATATTATTTGTACCTGAATTCGCCACAATAACATCTTGAGCATGATCTTTATTAAAATCATTTGAATCAATCGCATATGGCAAAGATCCAACACCCGTAGAAAATCGTTTTTGTTTGGTAAATGTTCCATCACTATTTCCAAAAAGAATTGTTGTACTACCATCATCATAATTACCTGTAACGATATCTAATATATCATCTCGATTGAAATAATTAACAGTAAGTGCGTATGACCCTGGTTCCATGTTATAATTTGCTGAGTTTGAGAAATGTCCTGTGCCATTGCCAAAAAAGATGGATAAAGTGTTATCTTCACCCTTACCAACAGCAATGTCTGCATGTTGATCTCGATTAAAATCATGAATTGATAGAAAATACGGTCCAGATTCGTTTCCAGTAGGAAGGACGATTGCATTTTGAAATGAACCATCAGCATTTTGCAATAAGATTTGTATTTCAGCGAGTACATGAGCAACCACGACGATATCGGTGTATGTATCATTATTTATATCATTAAGAGCAACTTCTACCGGATTTGAATTAGTTCCTGTTGCTATGGTTTTTGGAATTGAAAAACCCCCATAACCATCACCATAATAAATTAGAACCTTGCTGGCGTTCCTATTAGCAAGAACAATATCCATGTAAGTATCATTATTGATAAGACCGATAGCAATGCCATTTGTACCGGCATTTGTTTGATTAAGAATTGTTATTTGTCGACTAAAACTACCGTTGCCTAAGCCGAACAATACAATTGCACTACCTTCGTCGTAGTTAGCAACAACAATATCCAAGAAAGAATCGTTATCTAAATGTGCAGCCAGAATTGCTGTTGGTCCACGACCAACAGATTGAGAAAGCATTAGAGAAAATGAAATTGGGCATGTACCTCCTAGTAAATCAATAAATTCTATGGAGATATTCATTACTTTAATGTATACTTACCTGTTGCATGATTTGGAATATAGATACTAATCAATGATAAAATAACAGTTGCTGATATACACACACCGATAACACCGATGGATAAAAATAAAATTGGAAGTTTTAGAATGACGGGTACATTCGTTGATGAAAGTAAGGAAGATATTTTCGATGCGTACCACTTCATCGTAAAGCAATTAAAAGTGAAGTGAAGAGAAATTGTTGTGCAAATCTGGTTATGATAGTATCGTGTGTTGAAATAGCCATCAGTATCTTCCTTTTTCATTGAATTGATCTGATCAAAAGTTGTGATAGACCCCATTTACTGAAGGACGATTGGTATGAGACAGAGCGGATGGCCCGTTGGCCACAAAAATGTAAAAAAAGACGTGTTACCTCTCATGGCCGTTTGAGGAGCGAATTCTGTTGACGAAAGCCTGGAGCACAGCTATTCTCGATCTAGTGTACGCGCCCTAGTTATTCGTGTCTCCAGATAGTATAAGTGAAGGCTTGATAGCGAATGAGTAAGGTATGTACGAGACATTTATGATCAGGCTGCGTAACATTCACTTTTCTTAAGGGTGAGGGTGTGGCTCAGGTTATCTCATAGTTTTATGTCCACCATACTATCTTTGGAACCTTACATAGAATCAAGCTCTATCGATATGTAGGTAAGTAATCTCTAAGCTGTAGGGGTTATTTCCATGAATTGGCAGCGATGTTTATGACGCACGAACGATTGGTAAAAACCTGTTTAAATTGCTAGGATAAGAAGTATATGTAACAGTTTTTCAACACAAAATAATATACTGATCAGCAAATCAAACTGATCATTAGCAGAAAATACTGATCATTTAAAGGTAGATCGATTAAAAATGAGGAAAAAAATGATTTGTAATTCTTAGAACAATACTGAAAAGAAAAAATAATCATGTAAAAGGTTCAGGGCTGTTCATGTCATTTATTTGCGCAAAAATGTCACTTTCAACATCGATTGAAGCTTCTTTTTTGTTAATTATAGTATAATTCAGTTGTCTTTAGGTATATACCACCTTCGCCACCAGTAACTAATACTCGTCCGTCTTTTAAAATGGTTGCTTCATGCCCCAGTCGAGTATATTGCATGTTATTAGTAGTTATCCATGCTCCTGTTGCTGGATCATACAATTCACTGCTGTTTATCGAAACATAATAAGTATCAATAGCCCCGCCAGTAACTAATACTTGACCATTTCTTAACATGGACGCTCGATGATTTGTTCGTGCATAATGCATACTACCAGTAACTGTCCAAAGTCCTGTTGATGGATCGTATAGTTCCGCAGTGTCTTGAGATCCACCAGTAACTAATACTTTTCCATTCTCTAACAGAGAGGCTGTGTGAAAGAATCGCATATCTCTCATACTACCAGCAGATGTCCAACTCCCTGTTGATGGATCGTACAATTCAGCGCTTTTCAGATATCGTTGGGATCCAGTGCTAATTCCACCCGTAACTAATACTTTTCCATTTCTTAATACCGTCGCTGTATGACAGGCTCGTGAATCTTTCATACTACCAGTAATCGCCCAAATTCCTGTCAATGAGTTATACAATTCAGCACTATTTCGGCATTCTGCCGTTTGGATATCAAGTCCACCAGTAACCAATGCTTGTCCATTTTTCAACAAGGATAATATATGGAAATTTCGTTTATATGCCATGCTACCAGTGATTGTCCAATTTCGTGTTGATGGGTTATATATCTCAGCACTGGGATTATCTCCACCAGTAACTAATACTTTACCATTCCTTAATACAATTGCTTGATGACTATCTCGTGCATAACGCATGCTACCAGTAGTTGTCCAAAGTCCTGTTGAAGGATCATACAATTCTGTACCATTTGTCGTATCCGCACCAGTATCACCACCAGTAACTAATACTCTTCCATCTGGTAGTAACGATGCTGTATGAAATGCTCGACTGCTATGCATATCACCGACATTGATCCATCCTAAATATATCTGGCCATCATAGTAGTATGGTTAGGTTTCCCATAAAACTTGTAAAAGAGCAAAGAGAGAATACTTTTGTTTTGCCCTATGCATATCGTTTCTCCTTATGTTCTAAGTTAGAGCTTGACTATTGGTATTCGATTACAACTCAGTATTCTCAAGCATGACATCATCTGTTTCCATCTTAATTTCAGTACATCCATGCGTATCGTTCATACTTATATGAATTCGTTGCGATGAAATCATACAACTTGCGCCAATTTCTTTTGATAACAGTCATGATTACTGCCTTGAATGTTAGATATCCTTAAATCACTTCTATAAAACCAATCGGCTGCTTTACTTTAGTTTGCGGGTTTGAATACTCGGATCTACAAACGTGATATTATGGATTTAATGGAATCATATTCTCGAGCTCATCTATCTAGGTACATAATTATCTCTTAGTCTCTGTGGATGCACTGGTTTTCTGTCCGTGGTTTTGATGATATTATTTAGTAGATAGATGAGCTATGTTAAGATTTGCCCACTCATTCTTTTCAACAATGCTGTCGGGGATACAGAGTGTCTTTTGAACTATAGAGAAGTATGACATGAATGTTCAAGCGGACACAGCATATTCACCGTTTAAGTATTCAAAAATAGTCCTTGTAAGAGACAACTCTGAACGCTAAGGAAAAAGAGTTCATAAGAATTCTGCTTTCACTTCATTGTCGGTAATAAAACTACTTATTCTTTAACCAGATGGAAATGTTACTTAAAAGCTTACCGGATTTGTAAGTCTTTGTGAACAAGACTTTTCTTGGTACCGCTTTAATAATATGGGCATTTGACTCCGCTACCGTCAAAGTAATAAATTTTAACAACAAGAAAAGAGCTGTAGTCATAAATATTAAGCGATACGATTGACTGTAGTCCATGTTTCACCTCAAGAACAGTTTCAATTTAATAGTGAGAAACGAATTATTGTTCGAATAAATATTCTACAGTAATGTTTATCTTTCAGACAAATAATAGAACACAAAATATACAGATAAACCCTTTTTATCGCTACATGGCCTATTTTCTATATAACAGATATAGGACAAATTTACATTTTATTTATCTAGCTTTCCTTGCTATATATATATCTATCTTAATAACATGAAAGAATCTATTTTATGGTAATCTAGTGGATGTTTTCACCCGCATCCTCAAAGTAGTTGATTAGTTTTCCTTTCTTCTGATCATGTTAACGATTTCATTTAAATCTTCTTGCGACGGATGTTCTCTTGCATGCTGCACAATCATTTGCATTTCTCGAGCTTTTTCTTGGAACGACGCGAATGGATCGAATAATTCTTGAAGATATTGATTCATTTCACCATTTGAATTCGTATCTTGAATAACTCGTCCCGTACCGAATTCATAATTCACACGCTGTCCATTAAGAAATTGATCACCAAACATCGGTAAGATAAGCATGGGTTTTCCAGCGGACATACTTTCAAGAACACTATTCCATCCACCATGTGATATAAACAATTTCACCGCAGGATGAGAAAGAACAAGTCGTTGAGGTAGCCAATCAAGAACGAGGTGTACATCATCATTAGTCGATGGTAACAAATACTTGTGATCATCACTTTTTAATGACCAGATATATGGATGCGAAGCAACACTATGATTGATTTCAGCAATTTTCTCACGTGTTAAACTAACAATTGAGCCAAATGCGATGTAAATAACCGATGGAGATCCGTTTGATTTCTGCCATTGTGCATCTAACCATTCTTCCACACGTATCGTTGTATCATTCTATACAACCAACAAAGTATTCAATTTCCGTCGCGTTAGATTCATATAGTTTTACCTTTTGTATGTTGTCTATTTCAGGAAAAAGAGGAGCAACAAATTGGATAGGTAAATCGGAACGAATGACCGATTGCTGTCGATATCGATCGACTGCATGTTTTTCTAATTGAGCGATTGAATTGCAGATGATCCCATCAGCAAAAGTAAATGCTTCGAGGAAATTTGCAACAAACAGTTGGCTCATCGGAACCACTAGTTCACCAAGGAATATTTTAATATACCGAGAGAGATTTTCAAAATTGCACGGCATGAAGATTTGAGTACGTATATGACGTTCATGAGCAATACGGAGGGGTACTGGATTGAAAATATCCGATATGATCATATGCACTGGACGAGTGATCGGTCGAGTAAATAATAAGGAAGATGATGATGTGACAGATATAGTAGAGAATAATTCTGTCAATGACACATTCATTCGATCGATGTCATCATCGAGTTTCGATGTCTAGTAAAATCATCCGGAATTATATGCAAAGATAATTCATTTGAAAGACTTACTTTACTCTCGTCATTACGACTATCCAATAAACCAATGAATTCCAACCGATCAGTCGTGTTCTCGTGAGAAATTAAACCCATCTCTTTAATTTTATCAAGTATCGACTGCGATACGACGAAAGTTACATCACAACCACTGGACAAATGCTTTGCTAGATCTAACATTGGAATGACATGACCAAATCGAGGTATGCTCACGATCACTACATGACCGTTACGTTCATTCAACTGGGTTGTTTGCATCGGAGTAAAACAAGAGTGTTAATTTATACGAAATGATATTATTCACGTGTGTAAATAACAAGAAGGTAAAACATGTAGAGAAGAACTCAACTTTTACGTTCTGTTTTTTTTTCTTCTTCTATACTTTCTTATCTACATATAGAGAAGATTTCGTAATAAATCAAATAGTATAAACGAAGAAGAACAACCATCGATTACTTCTTTTGTCTTTACATTGAGCATAAGAAAATCCACATATTTTATCTCCTAAAATTGATCACACTCACGATATGTTCCATATAAAAGCTCAATAAAGTCAATTGTAACGAGATTTTCTCTTCTTACATTGAGCTGAATCGACACACACAAGGCATGACTTTACAACACGACCGTCTTCATGTATCGATTCATTCTACACGTAACTAGTCATCAATTCTATCTTTGATCAATATGATCGTTCGATTTTTTCACTGTTGATTTTTGTTATCGGACAAGACAGTAAAGAAATACTCTCGTCATGAGTTCTTCTTTTCTATTTTCACAGATAAACATTTTGTTTTTATTAATGTATCGATGTCTCACAAGTAGGAAGATAGAAATCAATCATTTATATGCCGTACGATAAATAAAGAAAAGTATTTGATATAAATTAGAGCACGGTGAAGATAAGAAAATGCATTACGAAAAATGTTTAATGCTAGAAGAGAACATATCTTAAACAGGCACTATACACAAGTGATCAGTATTTTTACCACTCGGTGTCTGATTGATTCGTATGAAAAATAACCCGTTCTCATTGTTTACAAAACACGGAGTATAATTATCGACGGGCGCTTTTTCTCATTTCAATTTTCTACTAAGACAAAACTTGTTTCTTCGATTTCCACGTCTTCGAACGGGACATCAATAGAAGTACTCAAGGTACAACTCATATAGATTTTTGAACTTAACTACTGTTATTTGACTAGTTTCACTGATGAGGAACTAGAAAAATATTCTCAATTTCAATGTATGTTTATAACAAAATTAATGCATTTCAGACAAACGTGGAAATTTTTTACATCTTTGACCATTCGCGATGAAACAATCTGCTCTCAGTGTGATAAAAGTAAACAAAAGCATATGTTTTCTCTGGTAATAACTCGTACAATCGATTCTATGTTACATCTCTGCCTATGACATATGACAACGGATTTCTTCATCTTACCAACAATGGTCCATAAGACCATTCACATCAAATTCAACTCTCGCAGTTGGCTTTGGCAAAATTTCATGCAACAATACTTTCCGAGTTGTTTTTCAGTGAACAAGTAGCTCAATACCTGAAAGATTGTGATGACATAATAGAGCCAAGATCTATACTCTATATGGATTCGACTGAAAATTTTCGTAACAGTCCTCTTATTTGTTTTTCGCAGAACCAATCTCTTTTCATATGAAAGGATATCCCATTTTTGTTTGTTTAATTATCTTTCTTGAGGAGTATTCATATAGAAAACATAAATAATGTAATGAAACTCACGTTTCCGAAAGAAATTTACTCTTATTTTAGTGTTACCGATGTGTTTGATTTGTTGATGCATATATTTATTTTGATTCAGTATTCCCGAGAGAAACAGAATCAATTCGTTACACATTTTAATTAAACAACAATCGGCGAGAGGTCTCTTCCAGAAGCACTATAGTTTATTCTGAATTGTAATGCAGATTGTGGATAACTACATTGTTTGGTTTCTGGCCATAATTATGATCAGGAAGGCGAAAGGTAAAACGAATGGATGGTGTGGGAGAAGGTAGTTTTAAAATAAAATGAATAAGTTTCAAATTATTTAAAAACAATGAAAATTGTACCTTACTTGTTAGATCCTCTCAGACAGGTGATTTATCTTTTACTCCATAGATTCGAAAGGAAATATCTCGATTGCATAATGGAGATAACTCTATTTGATTTTATGTTTTTCCGATTAACAGAATATAAGATTTGTGTGAAGAAAGAATAGTTGAGAAACTATTTATAACGCAGCAATTTGCCACTAGATATACACTATCTTCTTTTAAGATGAATGTTTTATTTTTTAGCTCTATCATACAATCAGCCATATTTATGTCCTAACGCGACTTGGAACACGAATGCTACCACTTTTGCAAATATCAGTACCGTTGGCCTATATCCATATGCTAGTTTTGTCACTACTAATGATACTGTGGTCGTCGTCAATCGACAGTCTCCTTCAACTTTTATTTGGCTCAATGGCAGTGTTAATCCAACAATTACTCTTCCCACAAGTCTCAATGATAGTTGGAGCGTATTTGTAACGGACACGAATGACATATACATAGATACAAAAGAAAATTCTTCCAGTTACCGAGTAAAAAAATGGACTTTTAATGGAACAGAATCACCTTCCGATATCGTCGTATCTAAGCAATGTGGTGGCCTCTTTGTCGACATCATTAATACTCTCTACTGTTCTGTGTATGGTTCGCATAAAGTTATCAGTCAATCATTAAATAATTTTATAAGCAATTCCGATACTGTCGCAGGTAATGGAACAGGCGGATCTACGTCTATCCAACTTAAAAATCCTAGTGGTGTGTTTGTGACAACCAATTTTCAATTATATGTAGCTGATTATTCCAATAATAGAATTCAACTGTTTCAACTAGGAAACCCGATCGGAACAACAGTGCCTATCAATGGATCGGCTGGGCCCATCACTCTTGGTAATCCAACAGGAGTTACGATGGACGCCGATGGTAATCTTTTTATTCTCGAGTACACTAACAGTCGCGTCATTGGTTCAAGTGCAAACATTTTCCGATGTGTAGCAGGCTGTTCAGGATCAAGCGGATCAGCACCAGATCAGTTAAATTTACCGTGGTCGTTTAGTTTCGACAGAGCTGGAAACATTTTTGTATTAGATAACAAAAATAGTCGGATGCAGAAGTTCCTGTTGTCATCAAATGTATGTGGTAGGTAAAATATATCCTTTTGAACTGTGCGGGGACGGAACGCGCACTTATACTTAGCTTATGTGTCCATTTCTTATAGATAAGCCTACAACAACTCACACTTTAACGTCAACAGACTCGCCTACTTCTACACAGTCACCAACGTCGACACAAACACTAAGCACAACGGAATCGCCGACATCCACCCATGCACCAACCACTTCAACAGAGTCGCCAACGTCGACCCATGCACCAACCACTTCAACAGAGTCGCCAACGTCGACCCATGCACCAACCACTTCAACAGAGTGGCCGACATCGACCCATGCAGCAACCACTTCAACAGAGTCGCCAACGTCGACCCATGCACCAACCACTTCAACAGAGTGGCCGACATCGACTCAAGCGCCAACCACTTCAACAGAGTCACCGACGTCGACACAACTGGAGACATCGACACAAACACCAACAACGACATACCCGTCTACTTCTACACAGTTATCAACCTCAACAGATCCACTTACTTTAACACAGCTACTATCATCATCACTGGAAACAACAACATCAGACGGACAGGCAACCTCAACACAACAAGAGGTATCAACTGAACAATTATCATCATCGAGTCAGTCGAGTTCAACAGAACAACAATCGCTCCCAGTGTTGACGTCTATATCAATAACGAATCAATGTGAGTATTTTTAATCATATAGAGCTCTATGTAGTAAAAGCCTTGGCTTGTCCTACGCAAGTATAAGATCTTTAACTGCCGCTATTTTTCAAATTTTAGCTGTAGTTCAAACTTCTTCGATTTCATCCGTGTCAACAACTGTTGTTAGTCAAGGAGGTATCTTATCTTATTAATGATTGTTTAAGAAGATATTGTGCATGTTCTGCTTTGCAGGATCATCAATGGTTTATCCTTCTACAACAAATGTTACTGGTTAGTCTCATATTGAGTTTTACAACTGATCACATATGAATATTTACATAGGTGTTACTTCAACTCTCTTCACATCGTCTTCATCAGTTATGATCAATTGTATTTAATTAATAATAACGTTTATTTAACATATGCTCTGCTTGCTTATTCTAGTGAATTCATCCGAGATTTTAATCATATCAGCATGTGCTAATCAATATTGGACTGGTATTTATTGTAACATTTCTAATCGACCGTGTGACACAGTCAATCCATGTCAAAATAATGGCAGCTGCTTAAACAGCAATACTACTATTGATGAATATTTCTGTCAATGTCCAGAAGGGTTTGACGGTTCAGAATGTCAAAATGATCGACGACTATGCAAACCAAACATATGCTTAAACAATGGTATATCCTCATTGAAATATATGGTTGATATGAAAGTGTCGAACAAAATAATGATTGATTCTATTTAGGTCAATGTAATGAGACATCCAACGAAACATTCGAATGTTTATGTCTATACGGTTGGACGAATGCTCATTGTGAAAATAAGATTAACTATTGCACAAATAACACGTGTGAGAATGGTGGCGTTTGTCGACCGTTATTTCTAAACTATACATGTGAATGTCTTGGAACAAGTTATTCAGGTCGTTATTGTCAAGTCGTCGATGGAAAAATGGTTTTCCGTCAGATGACTGCCAGATCGCTCGGTTACGTTGCCATCATATTTCTAATTGGTGCAGTGATGTTTTTCATTATCATGGACATTTTGAAATATCTTTTTGGAATTGATGTAACGAAAAATGAATTGATCGAAGCGAAGAAAACAAATGAAACTAAACGTAGATCACCTCGCCGAAAGCATCGAGTGTTCCAAAAATTTGAATATGTTAATCCTACAACAGTTCTGGAAGAATAAACAGTTCGTAAAAATGAAGATCTTTTGCAGTTATTGTCGACAGTCCGTGATGTGTCATATTTTAGATAGGTCGTTTTTTCAATGCATAACAAGATATTGAATCACTTATTATAATAAATCTTACTATTATTTTCGATACACGAGCGCGTGAGTGTTGACAACTCCTTCGATTTTAAAGATAGTTGTTTTTTTTGTGATTTGTGTTGTTCGTATATTGTTTTCGAGTATTTTGTTGATATGTTGTCAGAAAGTATTACTTATGAAGTTCAGAATAATGTTAGAATGAGCGATTCTAGTTTGGTGTGTTGTGGGGCATCTACACAATTCTATAATTTGATTAACGGTTGAAAAAAAGTAATCGATCGTATTCAGAAAATAGTGAAAAGTTATAAAAACAGATGTTCGAAACGCAAAACACACCGTTTTTGTCGACTGTTCATAAGTGAATTGATATTCAACATTTCATTTTCGAATTCGATTATGAAAAGAACTCAATGCAATAGCAAATGCATCGATCGTTGTAAATGGATATCGAAAATCTAGAACAAAATCATTTTCATCGATGCGTCCAAATTGCAAAATGACGATTTCTTTGCCTATGATTGAAATAGAAAGAACGTGTCATTGAGTTCTATCATCAGATTACCTTGTTCATTGGATGAGATTATTTGAAAATTTTTATGTGATGGTTGTTTTACACGGTTATTAAGAAAACCTATAGTATAGATCTTCGATTCTAATTTAAACAACAAAACGGAGACGAGTTTGTGAAGAGAAAAACGATTTTTGATTAACCTTCATTAAATTTCGGACATTTATTCTTAAATTCAAGTAAACTATTTGAACGTCCAGCTCGCCATTCATCGATAATTGTTTCATTATTCTATAAACGAAAGAAAAGTTATAATACAATCAAACACGAACAAGTTTACTTGAAATTCTCGAATAGTGGCACCAGTATTGTGTAATAAAACAGTTATCTCTCTCGGATCTTTCGATTCAAAGATATGTTCATCCTAAAATCAGATTTAATCATCACAAACTACTAGCGATAGGTTTTATAGTCCTATGAAGAAACACGGCCAACATTTATAATAAACATTCGCTTACGTAAACAATTGCAAGTGATTGAGGTTTATTTGATTCATTAGTGGAAGAAGATTTGTCGTAATCATATAGAATATATTCATGTCTAAATATTTTCGTCGTTCGTAGTTTTGCAATGGAATTTTCTTCATTGAGATTCTTTGTTGGAGTGTCGATATTCATTCCGATGAGAAATTCTGTATGGCCGCTCAATGTAGTATGTTTTCGTGCAGTTAACAGCAATGCTTCGTCATCTGGATCTTTTCCAGTGAAATACAAAGAAAAACTTTTGTTTAGACCATCTTTATGCCGTTTCAGATGACATTGAATCAATTGAGAATAATTTTTCGGTATTAATGTGTGAACAAATGTGCACAAATCGGATTGGATTAAACTTTCGACATTGAAATCATCTTTCGTTGCCTATAGAAGAAAAGAAAATTATTAAAAAGAACAGAATCATGAGACATTTTCAAGAACAGACTGATATTGATGACGAGTTACTGCAGTCAAAAATCGATTGGTGATCATTTGGAGTAATTTTATTCGAAGAATTGACTTCGTCGTCGTCATCGTCGAGATCTTGATCATTCGAACTAAAGAAAACTATATGAACTCTTCGTCAAAAATTCTATTTCGTTTTACTTTTCAACCTTCTGAGATGAAAGTTCTGCCATAATTGAAGAACAAATATTTCTTATGACAACACAAAAAGTCAATTTTTACTTTTCTTTTGTTCTGTACCATTAAATGAAAAAACTCTCGCTGCTTTCGAATATCTCACGTTATTGAGGTGACCAGGTACGATTATATAAAAAGAATACTTCGAAATGAAATTGAAAGAAAACGTTCTTCTGTATGCAATGCTGTCGACTACAATTCTAATGACCCAATGCATCACCCGTGATCAAAATAGATAAGCGATATGGGTAAAACAAAGTGAAAAATCTCTGTCAATTACATTCCCAGATATTCAAACAGCTGTGTGTAAATAGAATTGTTTTCTACGAGTCAATAGATCGTATGAGAACCAGCATTTCCTATTTCATTGTTGTCTGTTTTGAATAATGCCACGAGTTCGACCATGAAAGAAGTCATTTATAGAACCGAAAATGATACATTGACTGACACAACGCGTCTTACAGTTCATTCAATGCAACAACAGTAAGCGTTACTATTAATCCGAAGCACACAGTTAACTCATATGTCAACAACATCACTACAACTATTTGATCGTTTATTCACATCGGTAGAAGATATTTTTATAGTTTTAGATTATTTCACACAATCGAACAATCATGTTCATACATAAACACATCGATGAGCTGAGTTTCGTAACCAACATGGATAAGATCTGGATAATGATCTTGATTCGAATGTGTGACGACTAACCAATTAGGATAATGTTCGACCGTAGCGGAATAAATCATTTGTGAATAAAAAGTAGCATTTCCATATCCAAATAATATATAGATGTTACTAGGCTCGCTCATAACGAGAATGATATCTAAATGACTATCAACATCGATGTCGTGTGCAACGACTGAATGCACAAATCCACGCGACTCTAGCACTGTTTTTCCCTTTAATTTGAAAGTATTGTTTTGATAATGATACACCAAACAATGAGTGTATTTCCAAACATAGAAAAAAGCAATATCGGGTTGATTGTCATGATCAAAGTCATTGATTAGTATCAAAGGGTTCAAAGCGACAATACTCCCGAAAAACGGCTTTTGCTTCTGAAATGCTCCATTTCCATTTCCGAAAAGCGCATACATATGTTTAGATTTCTCATCAGATGCAATAATATCAAGTTCTTTATCATTGTTAACATCACTTACTGAGAAATCGAAAATTCGAACGGTATTCTGTTTGAATAAAAAAACTTCGGATGAAAAAGTTCCGTTTGGATATCCAAATAACGTACAAATATCATCGTTGCCGAAGTTTATAACAATATCCAATATTTTATCATTATTCAGATCATCGACACGAATTTTCCTCGGTAGTCCACTTATTTCAACAAATAGTGCGATCATTTGCGTTTGAAACGTTCCATCACCATTTCCAAACAAAACCGCAATTCTCACCTTTTCATTATATTGAAAAACTAAAAGCACGTCGATCCGGTCATCGTTATTAAAATCAGCAACATCACCCATTTTTATACTAATGGCACGACTTTGAAATAAGGTTATTGTTGAATAGTGAAACATTCCACTACCGTTGCCCAATAAAATCGTCAGACTTTTCTGCAATTCGGCTCCATGTATTAATAAAGCATCGGATTGTTCGTCATTGTTCAAGTCGGCAACGTGGATCGATTGTATCCAATCTGAGTTTGGCAATGAGAATCTCATGGAATTTTGGAATGTTCCATTCCGATGATTTAATGATATAACGATTTTCTCATACTTAGGAAATTTACAAGCATAGACGAGATCTGTTCGATTGTCATTGTTAAAGTCACCACTAGCAATGTGAAACGCAGACACTTTACGTTCCAAACAGGAAATCTTCGTTGATATACGCTCAAATTCAGCGTTACAATGTTGCTCTTAAAAAGTAAGAACGAACTTAACATGAATATTATATGTGACATCTGTAGTACTAACTTGACGTAGTCGACGACATAAAAGATGTTGCCTTTATTGTCGTGGTGTTCAAATTTATGTCTATTGTTGTAGTTGTTATCGAAACTACTTGAAAAAGTCATGTTTTTACACGGTTGAAACATGCGGTACAAAAAAAGAAAATCTTACCATTTCGAGCAAAATAAATCGAAAAAACAACAATAACCAATAGCAAAAATATCAGTCCTGCAATAACAATGAGAATTATCTTCCAATAGTGATGAATTAGTGAAAGCATTCTTTGTCTAAATCGAATAGATATTTAATATTCAAATGACACTTGAAGTGCGTCATTGACTTACTCAGATAGTCGTTCGACTGTTGTTCGACTGGCATCATTCGATGGCATTGTAAATGTTTGGACAGGATGAATCCGTCTGCTTAATCGTTTGTAATAACGATAGATTGTTCGAAAAATTCGAATTAGTTTTGGGCAAATCCATCGAAGAACAAACGTTAAACCACCTTGAAGACTCAGGAATAACGCACTAATATATAAAATATTAAATCTTGTAGCATAAGTGACAGTAGGGGTGCAACGGTAACAATAACCGGATTTAGTGGTAAAACGGTTTAGCGAAAACCGGACCAAGTGAAAGTGCGATTAAACGAAAACCGGGTCTGATGAAAATAAGGTTAAACGATAACCGGGTCTGGTGAAAATGAGATGTAACGAAAACCGGGTCTGATGAAAATAAGGTTAAACGATAACCGGGTCTGGTGAAAATGAGGTGTAACGATAACCGGGCCTGGTGAAAATGAGGTTAAACAAAAACCGGGTCTGGTGAAAATGAGGTTTAACGATAACCGGGTCTGATGAAAATGAGGTGTAACGATAACCGGGTGTAGTGAAAAACCGGTTTAACGAAAACCGCTAGAAATGTATCAACGGTGAACCGGTAACCGCTGTGAATTTAACGTGAGCCGTTGCGATTCGGTAACCGTTTTATAATTCATTATCCCGAGTGTTATTGTGATTGTCTCAAATCTCCACATGCTGAAGATTGAACTGCAGTAACATAGTGTAGTGCAGTGTCGATTTGTTTATTTTAGATGATTTATTATTATAAATGTCTCATTGTAGAATACAACTCGGTACTATTTGTTGGTATAAACAGATGATTAGTACAACTTGGTGTTGTATTTATTTTTATTTTAGGCTCTAAGCTGAAGCTAGAATACGCTCTTTATTCTACTAAGTACATCATACGTATTTGAAACGATACCATGCACTGATGACTTGTGATTACATAAGGATATACGGATGAGTGCGGATCAAACGCTTTGATCATTTTTACAAAGGATTCGAAACGACAGTTCATCTGATTATAGTTTCAACTAATGTATCAATATAGTCAAAGTGTAATGTGTTGCCATGTGACGCATGATCTGTATCGATACCTAAACGTGCTAACGATGTTCGTTGGAATGATTTTTTTATAAACACATCACAAACAGAAAAAATAAATAAAATCCGAGATCAAATGGATGTTTAAATAAAATTCATCACGATATCTCAAACACATAGTTTTATATAAAAAAAAATTAACGTAGATTTGGCTTTTACACATTCGATCAACTTCTTACAGTAACTAAGCAGGTGCGATTTAAAAAAGGCGAAATCCTACTTCAGTATCTGTTAAGATCCGTGTGCAAACATGAAAGTTTATATGATACTACGCTTTCACAAGTCATGACTAACATTAAAAAGTATTATTAAAGGGTCATATATCTTTAAAATAGATATTACAATAAAAGCGGTTACTGGCTCACGACGGTTACCGATTCACCGTTTAATCGATTTGTAGCGGTTACCGCAAAACCTCATTTTCACCGGACCGGGTTTTCCTTACACCCCATTTTCATCAGACCCGGTTTTCGTTAAACCTCATTTTCACTACACCCGGTTATCGTTACACCTCATTTTCATCAGACCAGGTTATCGTTAAACCTTATTTTCATCAGACCCGGTTTTCGTTAAACCTCATTTTCACCAGACCCGGTTTTCGTTACACCTCATTTTCATCAGACCCGGTTTTCGTTACACCTCATTTTCATCAGACCCGGTTTTCGTTAAACCTCATTTTCACCAGGCCCGGTTATCGTTACACCTCATTTTCACCAGACCCGGTTATTGTTTTACACCGGTTAACCGTCTACGGTTAAACGGTGAATTACCGTTACCGTTGCACCCCTAGTCTCATCCTCAACATTCACATGAAGAAGATGGGTTAATTCTTTGTCAAGCTGGTCTCAGTTTTTCTCAGTTTCTTCTTGCACCTAATGATGATACCGAATTAACAATGTGGTTTTTCGGTGAAACGAATAAAAATTTTGCATATGAGTATCATAAAATGTTTCTACAAATGTTAAACAGTGTTGATGAACCTCGCTCTCATTGGCTCTTAAAAGCACCGATTCACGTACTCTTTCTTGATACTCTTCTGCACTATTACCCTTCGGCATCACTGGTTATGACGCACCGTCAGTTGGATGAAGTGCTCCCTTCCTTTGTTCGTTTATTTTCTGTTTTTATGAGTATTTATTTAAACAACAACAGGGCTGAAATTCCTGCCGATAAGACTGCAGATACGAAACGTTTAATACAGACATTCGATACTCTAGTTCATCGGCTAATCAAATTTCGTCGTGCTCATCAACATAATGCAATCTTCGATATACACTACAATGATCTAGTCGAACGACCGATCGATACTGTTCGTCATCTTTACGATCATTTTGGATTCCAGTGGTCAAATGAATTTGAACAAGAAATGATCGTGTGGCTTGAGAAAAATCCCCAAGGAAAACAAGGACGTAATATGTATAGACTTGAGGAATTTGGGCTGACACGCGATGAAATTGAACAGAACTATAATGAATATAACAATATGTTTCTCGAACTTCGAAAATGATTTCCATTTTATATAAAATGTTTGTTTCTACACTAAGCATAATCGTCGAGTAACATTCCGATATGATCGGAATTCGTATTTGCAGCGATTATATCGAGTTTATTATTATGATTATTATTGTTTAAATCTGCGAATGCTAAGGACTCAGGAGAAACACCGTCTAGGTAGTTTGTTTGTTTATCAAATACGCCATGCCCTTTGCTATGGAAAATACCGGTATTACTTGGATATTGATTTACAACAAGAATATCGATTTTTTTATCAGGGCGTGTGTGGTCCATTTCTGTTCTCTTTCATCATGTTGTTAGTTATGTTGTCATAAATAACACCCAACGCCGAAAAATACAACCTACAATTACGGATTCAATCATTTGAAGAGATAGAAAATAAGAAAAGTTCCATAAAATATAATTGTAAAAATCTTATTTATTAAACGTATGAATGACATAATTTAAGAATAAAAAGAATTTTAGCATGGAAAAACTGTCTTGATTCCTCCACATTTCTGCAGTACTTCGGATTTAAAATGTGTGAGTAGCTGAATTTGATCTTAATGCTGAAATTCTTTCACAAACATGATAGATATCAAGTAGGTCGTTTCTTTCTTTCTCTCTCTCTCTCGTCGTATACAGTATATTCATTTTATTGTTATCAGTTGGTAAACACAACATCATTACATTGTGCTTTTTTGTTTCTAGTCGATTACATTTACTAGACTGAAGGTTCTCCGGAAAGTTTCGAATCATAATGAGGAATGTTTATCGATTTTTACTACTAAAGTTTTACATCATCTTGAATATTATCAATTGTATACAAACACTTCCAAATGGCTATTTATTAGGAGCATCATATGATCCTGTATCGGGCACAAATGCAATCTTCAAAATTAATCCATTAGATGGAATATTTACGGTGCTTACACCTTTGACCAGCTACAAAGCATATGATGTTACATATGATTTTATTCATAAAGTTTTATACGTTTTCGGTAGTGAAGCATCATCAGAAAATGAAGCGCAGTTATCAGTGATCGTGATTAACCCGTTGAATGGTACGCAAAAATATCGACCAATTACATCAGAACCTGATGCTGAACTATTTGGCTTGCGTGTTGATAGCAGCACAGGAATGTTATATTCAGTACAAATGGATGACTCACTAGAAAATCCAATAAGTATCGTTCAGATCGACACAAGGAAATTTATAGCTAAACGATGGGTTAATATAACTAGAGCTAACGGTATACAACCTGATTGTATGGCTATATTTTTCAATGCAACAGTTCATCAATATTTTGTAACAGTTCCCTTTGGAGATGATTATATTGTTGGTATTGATGTGGCAAAACGAAAAATTATTAGTAAAGTCACAAATACAAATTTACCAGCATATCTATGTTATGATAATAAAACGGATGCTTTTTATGGTATGCAGAGTGCTCAGAGAGGACGTGGTTGCAGTTTAGTACGTTTCAATCCGTATAATGGTTCTATGGATGTTATATCGAAAAATTTCGATGATTATTTACCATCGACTGGTGATTGTTATAATGGATATTATTTTACAATGATTGTTAAAGGTCTTGACGATCAGAATATTGTCACATTTGATTTAAGCAATAATGCAAAAGTAATAGCAAATAAACCAGCAGAGTCCTATCTGGATGCATTTGCATTTGCTCCGAATTAGTTCTAAAAGATTTTCTTTTTGTAATTCTCCATTTTTTTTTCGCGTCTTGACGATGTGAGTGCATGAATAAAAAGATGCGCTTTCAACTTAATATAACTGCGTTACAAACTAACTAACTAATATATTTTCGTTATATAAATAAAAAGAATCAATGAAAATTAAAAATAGAAAATTTTAAAACGTTATTCTTCTATTGATCAATAACAGCAGGTGTAAAATATTTCTGAAGTTCTTGATTGATCGCATCGGTTTGATTGTTAAAAAATTTCACCATTTGCATAAGTGCGTCGATGTTTTCAATCTTGAATGTGATACCCCATGATAATTTCATTTTATCTTTCAAATAGTCTTCGACTCTAGAATATTGACGACAATTTTGAACACCTTTAAAGCCGTCTTG